ACTATAGAATTTAGTATGGAGACATCGCTCAACAAATATTTTTTAGCTATTTCATGTCTGGCCTAGTGCTCTTAACTGCCTCTTGTGAAAAGGCATGGTGTGTGTGTGTGCCCAGGGGTGTGACAGAAGAGTGCTTTCTAGGCTTAAGATTTTGTGAAATGGGGAGGAGGCTGTCTTCCTCCCGGCTACACAGCGATGTGGAACGGGCACTAATGATGTGATTTCCTCCTCCCTTCCTTGTCTAGCCATTAATTCTCACTCTCCCAAGGCAGGAAATCAAAAGGACAGATGGGATAGAAACCTGTCTGAGCAGAGCAAGTAATTTTACATGTGATAATAAGAAATCATAGGTGACTTCCATTATTGGGAGCAAGACTTTTCTATTTCTCAGTGTCAAAACTAGTATTAAACTTCTAATAGAGATAAATATTTTTCTTATAATGCATTTCTTACCTAAGAGACCTATTTCTAGATTTATTTGAGAGCTGAAAGGGATCTCGGAAATGATCTAGTTCAATACCATCATTTTACAGAAAATAGTAACAAGGACATAAAAGAAGGTGATTAAGGTCATACAGATGCTAGCAGAGCCTGAACCAGAATCCACGTCCCCCAAATCCTGGTCCTCTGTGGGCTGTTTGTTATACCAGCTTGACTCTACTTAACAAAACCGGGCTGCCACCCAACAGCCGGACCCTGTGATGGCCGTACTACACACACTTGCCCACAATGTTAACTGGATGACTGACCACCCCAGGTCAATCATTCTGCCAGGGCCTATGGGGCGTCCAAAGGTGAATTCACTCGTATCCCAAAGGAACTTGCAATATAGCAAAATCCAAAACCTTGGGGAGGCAAGCATCACAAAAATGCAGTGGAGGTAAATACCATGAAAAATTGGAAAGAGAGATGGGAACTATTTTCAGGATTAATAAGCAACCTCCCCGAGATTCAGGACAGACTGTCTGTCCCGCTCAAGCGTCATGCAAAGTGTTTTCCCTAATTCTGAGTACGTTGCCATTTAGAAGATTAAAAAAAACTCAAGTAAGGAGTCTTCCACCTGAAGATGTTTCCCCGTGCATGACCGAAACTAACTTGTTTCACACTGTTTGCGATGAATCCACCCCTTCTCTTCGCGGGCGGCCCTGTTCCTGACTCAGACCTGCAGATGGAAGGGCCTGAAGGCACGGGAGAGAACCCAGCCCGGGCGGGCCCCGCAGGTGGGCGATGCGCTGCAGGCTTTTCCTGAGGGATGAGGGTTTAGGGAGGGCCGCAGGGGATCCGGGCGGGGGGGCAGGGAGGGGGGCGGGCGGGACCCCGTCTGCTCGCAGACCGCGGCGGCTCGGCAGGGCTTACTGGTCTCTGGACGAATCTATCCGGTTTACTTGAGTTACCGCCTAACGTATAGACTATTCAGAAGGGATGTCCCTTTGAATCTAAGATCAAGTTGGAGACAATGATTTGGGAATATTTCCCCCGCTGTTTGGGAAATCCTGGACTCTCACGTTGTCTGTATTTATGACTTTGTATACTTGCAAAGAAACTCAGAGTTAAATACGTCCCTTTTGTGTAAAGCTTCTTGAAAATTCGTATCTATGCTACTCATATATGTGTGTGTATATGCAGCCAAGGGAAAGTTGGTAGCTTTCATTCAACATATTTAGCTGGATCTTTTCAACCAAAATGTAAATCTGCAATGTATCTAATATAACCCAATTAGAGCTACTAACACCATCTGTATATATATTTTTGGTTCAGCTGTCAAAAACACACAAATACAAATACAATATTCAGTAGTCGTGTGATACTTTATTGTACTATACATCATTTAACCTTTCCTTATTTTTAAATGGGTCAATTTTCACTTTCTGCCTTTTAGAATTAGTATTTCAGTACATATTTTAATGTGTCTTTGTCCATATTTCTGGTATTTTTCTTGGGCTAGATTATTAGAAATAGGATTACTACAGTGAAGTACATAAAATTTTAAACTAAAAGTTTTAAAATAAAAACAAGCATGTACAGTATCTAAAAAGTCAAATAATGTAAGACTTCTAACAAAACAGCCTAGTACTCATCCCACGTCCCTCTCTTGAGCTGTTTCTTTGTTGTTTACCTTCAATATTGCTCTTCCATGATTTAAAAATTTTAGACATTATCTATTGATCCTACCATGAAATGAATAATTACATTTCTTATATAATGAAACATAGTTAACCCCCCCTACCCTCCTCCCATTGGTACACTTTTTGGTGTAAGTCAAAAGCCATGCAGTGTATTATGATTACACATTTCAAATATTTTCACTATAGCTAATAACTGCCTCACTTGCTCTGTATGTTTGGTGTGGCCCCCAGATTCTTCGATACCCTTCCCACTGATAGGTGAGGTCTGCAGCCCCTGTCCTTAATTCTGCCTGGGCTTGTGAGTGTTTTGATGGGGGGTCATGGAAATGGCTGTGTGACCTCTGCGGGGTCACAGAGGAAGCAGCCTCTGCCCTGTTTGCTGGAACACCTGTGATGGGGTCCTGAGTGAGCATGTACGAAGTGGGGACGCTCTGAGGCTGCCACGCTATGAGGAAGCCAAGCTACACGGAGGGGCCGCGTGTGACATGCTCGGGTTGGTCAGCAGCCCGAGCTGCCCGACGCCCCAGCCGAGGCGCCAGGTGTGAGTGGGGTCTCCGGAAGAGTCCCGTCTCCAGCATTGCTGAATCGCCTCCACCCTGTGGTTCTTCCCAGCTGAGGACCCAGACATCACGGAACAGCCATCTCCTCTGTGTCCTGTCCAAATTCCTGACCCACAACATGCATGATCATAATAAAACGGTCACTTTAGGCAGCTAACTTTTAGGGTAATTTGTTACGCAGCAATAGTAATGGGAACTCTTAGTTTTCTGTGTACCCATCATTAGTTGGTCTTTAAATTCTCCATATGGTCCAGCACATTGGTTCCATTTTCTCCTGAGAGGTATTCTCCCGAAGATCTCTGTCCCCTGGTCCCAGTCCAGACTGGACACACAGCCATCAGCCTGGGACTTGCCTGGATGACAGACAGGGCAGCATGTTACTTAAGGACGCGGGCCCTGCGGGCAGGCTGCCTGGGTTTGAATCCTGGCCCCACACTTGCTTAGTTGTGTGACTGGGCACAAGTTAGTTCATCTCTGTGCCTCCAATTCCCCCTTAGAAGTGTGCCCAGCACACAGTAGGTACTCTCGGTGTTGGCATTATTGTTCTTATTGTTGTGTATCCCTCTTCCCTTCACACTTGATAATACGACAGGTATAAAGTTCTGAGTTGGAAACAATTTTTTTTCCCAGTGTTGAAGGTATCACTCATTGTCTTGAAGTCAACAGCGTGCAGTTGAGTGCTGAAAGGCCATCCTGGCTCCTGACCCTTTGCATGAAAGTTTTTCTTTTTCTTCCTGGAGGTATTAGGATCTCTTCTTTACCCCCATTGTTTCAAAATTTGATAATGATGTGACTTGTTGTGTGTCTTTTAAAATTCATGATGTAGGGTATCATTTTAATTCGGAAATAGGTCCTTCAATTCTCAGAATTTTTCTTTTAAAAAGATTGCTAATTTTCTCACCTTCATTTTCAGTTTTCTGTTTCTGGACTCATAAAAGGTATATAGGACCTGTTCAAGTGGTTCTCAAATTTTCTTATTTTGTTCTGTTCTCTGCTGTCTTTTTGCTCAATTTCCCATGAGATGTTCTCATTTGTCCCTCCCATTCTTCTGATTTTTAAAAAGAAACCTGCTCTCATGTTTCATGTTTTATAAACTCATTTATTCTTGGGTTGTCCCCTTTTATGTATCACCTGTTCTAACTTCACGGGTGTGACACCTTTTCTCCCTGAACGCACCGCTCACAGCACGTCTGGTCTCTTTCTGTCCTCGCAGTGTCCGTTCCCTCCAAGTTCCCTTCTCCTCGGCTTGCTTTTGGCCCGTCCTCCACGGCAGGGGCTCTGCTCAAAGCCCAGGGCCCCACTGATACTCCCTCCTACTTCAGTTAGACGCTCTGCTCCGGACGACGTTCTGCGGCCTGTCAGCTCGGCGCCCGAGTGTTGGTCAGGCACAGGGCGCGCTTGCTGGGGGGCGGCCCAGACACCCCCCTCTGTGCATCTTTTCTCCTGGGTTTGATGGTCACCCCGAAAAGGAATCCTCTTGGTTTCTGCCTGGTGAATATGAGGGATTTTAAGCTGACTGCCAGCATTTTGAAAGCCAAGAAGGGAAGCGGGCTGGGAGAGGGAAAATTTGACCTTTCCAAATGCAGATATCACTTCGGCTCCCTCTGCTTTAAGTTTGGTGGCTACCCCCACCCTCAGTTGTGCCTGGTTCCCCAGGTCCAGAGCCTCAGATGAACCCAATCAGTCAGAACCATGAACTTAAAAGAAATTCCATGAAGCTTTGGATGAAAGGGCAAGAACTTTTTGACCAGAGTTTCTGGATTAAATGCAAACCAAAATAGCTCCCTCTCACCTTCTATACCTTCCCTCCCACCAAAGAGGGGGAAATCGACGCAATTTAAGCCCCTCTATCCTTCCCACTTGCCCATGCTTTTTTTTCTTGATAATGCCATATTCAGGGTCCAAGTTTGTTTTAAAATAACCCAGTGAGCTGACAGACGGAGCTCCTGGAATTCTGCAGCTTGTGCTTAAGTCTCCAGATGGGAAATTGCTGTCAGTTAAAGGGTGGTGCTGTTACCAAAGCCCAGTTTCTCAAAGGCTTTAGGAAAAAAAATCATCTAAGCTAATTAGCATTCACCACAGGCACTAGCTTTGTGTTGCAGTATTCTAAGAACTCAGATAACAAAAAAACACAGTATTGCAATAACTTTTAACTAACATTTTTACCCTTTAAAAGTGCAGACTATAAAGTGAGAATTTTACCTGTTACATGAATATGGCTGATCTATGGTCTTAGATAATCAGGACATACGAATTATGTTCTAAAATTGACTAAATACTACTGGTACCTTAAACAGGAGTAATTTCATTTTACCTCTCTGATCTGCTTAATCCACAAATCTCTTCCAAGAAACTCCTGGTGTAAGATTACAGGAGCTGAATTTAGATTGAAAGTCATATAGTCGCTGGTCTTTTCTCTAACAAAAGGCTGGAGATCAGAATGTATCTAAAAAGGAGAATTCAAAATGTTAAAATCAGTGAAATGCACACATATGAGTACATTTCACTCATATTCAGAAAGCACCAGTTCACGCAATGAAAAATAAAAGCATGCAGTTTTTAGGTATAATTTAATAAGCAAACAGTTTGTATGATTAACAATAAATCTTTAAAATTCTTTAAAATAATTTTTCCCTAGCACATTCCTTTTTTATTTGGCAGCAGCCTTTTTTTCTTTTTTTCCACTTTTTAAGTTAAAGGCAAGGATTTAGGTAAAGTTTTGATAAATACAATTGCTTAATAAACAAATACAAGATTTAATAAATAACATAAAAAGCTCATCTGGAGATATTATATATGTATATATTTTCCCCCTTATGAGATATTTAAGTTACATTTGAGAAATATGTATTAAATGGAATTTTAAAATTACATATACATAGAGGTAACAGTATAACAGCTAATCTGGGGTTATTTTGTATCTCAGTATGCCCATTCAAAAGAACCAGTTATTAGAATTAAAGCTTTCAATTTGAATCAGTATATTTCTAAATTTCATTAACTTTCCACAATTTGTTTTACATAAGGAACCATACAGGAACTGTAACAAAAACGTAAGTATTCTTTCATTCTGTGAATGTTTAATAATTTGCAAGAGTTCTCTCAAGAACCCTTTCAGGTGGTAAGGAAGGACGAACACCACAAATATGGTTTAAGCAAGCTGGAGCTTTTAGCAAATTGCACAGGAGTCACCACTCAAACGGTTTATATTATACAACAATCACCATCTCTGGCTGCCAGATTTTAGGCACACAATAAGCATTTTTTGAGATATAAAAGCAGCTTATTAAGTGGTAAAAGGTTTTCCGTGTCCCGTCTTAGCTGTTTAAGGACTGGAGAAAGAAAATGCGCAAATACCTTATGACTCATGGCCATGTGCTCCCCATACTGGAAGGCCATGTCCTGGACCTCAGCACCATGCTTTGCTAGTTCCATTGCAGCCCGGCAGCTCTTTGCTAGCAAGGCACCGTGGGAGAGAAAAGCTTGCTCCTTCCAAGTCGCTATACCAATATCATCGGTAATACAATTTTTCTAAAAAATGCAACAAGAGCCAAGATAAAAAAAGGCATTAGGAATAAGTTAATTGTTCTGGTTTTTGAAAAATAAAAGAGTGAAGAAATGAACTATGCAAAACACTCGGACTATTGTAGCAAGACAGAGCCAAAAGGTGCGGAAACTCGGCTTTATCTAAAAAGAACCAAGGGAGTGGGAACTGCTTTTTTGGGGCAGTAGGGAAAAAAATGAAACAAATGCTGAAGCAAATTTCATTCTGAGCTGGGGGGCTTCCATTAAAATATTATTTGGAGGATAAGGCAAAATCAGAAACTTGGACCTCCTTACAACCCCCTCACACCCTCGCGTCAGCTCCTGAGCGCTGCGGCTGGTCCCAGGCACAAGAAGTGCACTGCCTTTACCTTGCGTGGAAACGTCAAGGGCATAACGGACAAACCACGTTCTCTTAGAAACGGTCAAAGAGAAAAGCCGCAGAGGAGGCGGCCCATCATAATGGAGTGTGATCAGGCTATTTATTCACCAAAGCTTATTCCCATAAGAAGAAACAAGGAGAAAAAGGAGGATATAACTGTAGTTTATTTAATTTCATCTTTTAAAATTATGAAAATCATTATAGTACGTGTAAGTATACACACTCCTACTGCCTTTAGACCAGTGATATCCAATAAAAATATAACATAGGCCATGTAGCAAATGAAGATTTGCTAGTAGCTATAGTAAAAAGTTAAAAAACCAGGTGAAATTTATCCTAATGATGTATTTTATCTATCTCAATATATCCAAAATATTTCAATATATAATCCATATAAAATTGTTGAGATATTTTATCTTCTTTTTTTTATTCCAACTTTCCAAAATCAGTGTGTGTTTTACCCTTAGAGCACCTCACCCACCCACCTGCCCACCTGAGGTGCTCAACAGGCACGAGGAACCGCAGCCGCAGCGGGCAGGCTCTCGAGGGCACGCACAGAGCGCTGTTCATCCATCCTATGGGGTTTCTTTGAAACCCGAAGCTAACAGGACCTCCCCAGAAGGACTGACTGCCTGTACTTCCTGCTGCCCACATGGTAATCCTCCTTCCATCATTGGAGGATAAAGTAAAAAATAATAAGAAAACTTAAACAGGGGCCATTAACAGGAGAGCTCAGATTTAGCCCCAGTTCTTTCACCACGCTGAAAGGGATCTTTGGTCCACTGGTCAGATTGAATTCTCAGATTCGCTTTATTACGCCCTTAAACAAAAAGAAAGCTCCACTTACAGCAACAGTTACAAATGTGTAACACTGCATTATGTAATAATTAAAAGAGCTACCCAGGGGACAAACAATGCATAAACTGCTTTACAAAACAGGCACAAACAATAACATATTTAATTTCAGGAACCCGAGGATGTATTTTTAAAATGTGCCAAGTTAATGCGTCATATTAATAAACCTAAGATAAAAGCCATGTTATCTTTCCACATATACTAAAGAAGCATTTGACAAAATTCAACTTCTATTTTTGATGGGAAAAAGCCCTGAATAAAATAAGACGTGCATTTCTTTCATATGATATGTGTGTTTGCGTGTTTGTGTGTCTTAGTGTGTCAACCTGAAAGTCAGCAAATACTTTATAAGGAAATACATAAGCTTTTCTTGCTACATACAGTCAGGAACAAGAGAGACACAAAACCGCTGCTAATTAGAAGGACAGACGTATAAAAATCGAAAAGGTAGAGTTTAACTATCACTGTTTGAAGACAATATAAGTGTATATTGGAAAAAAGTGAGAGACTTAAATAGAAAACTCCTATAAACAAGAAGATAATCCAGTAAGGTATCAGCCTATAAAATTAATATAATTTACAACCAATATAATAAATGTATTAGCCACAGCTTTCATGCATAAAAATAATCAGGAAGTATTATAAAGAGGGTATTTTCTTTCATTGTATCTATGAAAAGAAAGATTAAAGAGCTGGGAATAAACTTAGTAATGTGCAAAATTAATATGAACAAAATGCAAAATACTCCTGAAGGAACAAAAAGGGAAACTGAATGAATAAAAAAAAATGTGTCATGTTTAAAGACAGTAAGATCCAACCTCATAAAAGTTTACCCCAGTAGATTAAAAAGACCTTTTTGCCCCCTGAAACCAGGCAAGCCAATTCTAAAGAACAAACAATAGGCAGGTAAAACATGAAAAAGAAGAGAGTATGTGTGGGGAGGGGGCAGGGGGTGAGTGGTGGGTGGCAGATGTGACAGTGATAGATATCTAGTCCTACCGGGTATTATAACACTACAAAGCTTCAGTAATTAAAAAAAAGAGTATACTTTTGAGAGAAATAGATAACTGGATAAAATATCGTCAAGTCAAACTAGTTGCAGGAACTCACTGTATTTTAGTGAAAAGCTGGACTTTTCAGTAAATGGTGCTAGCACACCCAAACAGCCATCTGGAGAAAAAAAAAAAAACCCAAAACACGGATATGCATTTCACGTCATTTACCAGGATCAACGCCAAACGGCAGAAACGACAAAGCGAAGCACTGCAGAGCCCAGGCACCGCGAGCGGATGGACGCAAGGTGATGAGAAGTAGTCGCGTGTCCCCCGCGCCTGGCTGGAGCGTGGGACCGTCACCTTACGTGTAAGGGACGTCACAGATGCAATCACACTCAGGATGCCAGGCCCACCCCCGGGTGACAGACGGGCCCGAGGCAGTCACAGGACCCTTCTGGGAGGAGGGCGGCGGAGGCTGGGGGCCCCCGGGCTGTCCGGGTGCCAAGGATAAAGGCGCAGGTCAGAGAAGACGGGGAGACAGACGCAGTCCTGCCTAGAGCCTCCAGAAGGAAGGCGGCCCTGCTGACATCACATCTTGATTTGGGGGCTTCTGAGTGTTAAAAAAGTTCTCCAAAGCTTCACCAAGTGTCGGTGAGGCTGTGAAGCGACGGGCCTCCACACATGGCTGGTGGGAGGAGGGCCTGATGGACACCGACAGGCTGGCGGGGAAACTACAAACACGTCTATCTGCCCCAGGGCCCGGGATTCCTACAGGCGGGATTAATCCTACATACAGGGCCACACCCGTGTGACAGGAAACACACACACACGTTCACGAATATCCTTCTAAAATTCAAGGCAGACACACCCCAGGGCCTCCCTGCCTCCCAGACCCCAGCAGGCTCCTCGGAGGCCGCCGCGCGCTCTCCCAGACGTGTGCACGGCTTGGGTCCCTCACTACTTCTGCATCTCTGTTCAATAATTTCAACCCATTTTTAACAGCCCACGTCCTTTGCCCCTTCATGTCCTGTTCACTCTGCGCACTTCTTGCCTGACGCCACTGGGCTCCCGAGAGCTGCTTGTTTGATGCTTTGCTGCCCGCCCCCCTCACTAGATGGGGCTCCATGAAAGCAAGCGCTTTCTTGTTGCGCCGCTGCTGAAACGCCAGCATCCGATCTAGGTGTGCGACAGATTTTTGCGGAATCTTTCTCTCTTCTGGTATTTTTCTCTTTCTTTTCCACCTTTCTCTAGCCTGCCTAACTTGAACATAAGAAAGAACTGAAATACTTCTCCTTAAATGCAACTTATAGAGTCTTGCAACTCACAGAATCACGATGAGCTCTGTAGCCTAGCATTTATGGTGCACCTTTTTGGTACCAAGCAGTATTTCTAGCCCCTTCTCCTACCCGAATATCCCCTTTCAGGCTTCATTTCATTGGCACAGGGCAATTTCCCATTTCTCGAATAAAATATGCACTTTCCACTTGCGTGTATTTAGAAATACTATTCCCTTCAAAGGGAATTTCGTCACCTCCCACTGCCTGCCTATTAAATTGGACATATCCAGTTCAGTATGGCTTCGTTGAGAAAGAAGCTTTCTCAGCTACTCCCACAAAGCCTTTCCTCTTTAGCCTAATGTTACCTTACTTACATTACAACATAGCACTAATTCTCTGAATTGTATGGCTGCTTACTTGTCTGTTGTCTTGACCAGGTTGGACTTTGTCTTAGGCATCTTAATGCATTTTAAATTACTTAGGACATTCTAATTTCCAACAGATTTTTTTTTTAATGAAAGGAATCACATTTATCTGTTGCATTTATTAAGCAGTTGCATGTTCTTTCTGAAATTTAAAAGCGAATGAGTAGATATGTACCTACAATGAATGCTATTTGCAATAAAAAGGAACTATGACAGGTGAACCCCAGAGAACAATAAGCCGACTGAAGGGAGGGGGACACCAGAGACCACACAGCACGAGTGCGGGTACAGGAGGTGTGGGCGAGGGGTGGCGCGGGCTGGGAGGGAGCTGCCAGCGGGCAGGAGGGGCGGCCTGCCGGTGCGCAGGAGAATGCCCTGAGACTGGGTCATCGTGGTTGTGCTGCTCACAGTAATTAAAAATCACTGAATTGTATGCTTGAAATGGGCTAATTTTATGATAGGTAAAAATAATCTCAATAAATAAATAAATCTCAATAAAGTTGTTAAGAAAGAAACAGAAGCAAATGAGCGTAACAGTTTCTTGGTCTCAAATGCTTACACTGACATTGAGAAACCTTTATCTGACTCTCAATTAACTTTTTTTGGTTTGTATTCCATCCTCATCTACTCACACAACCAACATTTATTCAGGTTCTACTGTGGGTCAGATTCTCCATGAAGCACTATAGATATGAAGACTAATAAACAGCCCATCCTCAAGAAGCTTGCAGTCCAGGGACAGCATGTATAATGTATCTATATGTGGATATAAATATATAGATAAGTCAGTATAGTTCTACTTCAGAATAATTTTTGCAGGATCTCCAATGATTACAGATTCAGTTTTGTTCATTATATTTTCCTTATTGTGATTAATATATTTTATTATTCATAATTTCTACAATTTAAATTATGCAAGTAATACACAATTGCTATAAAAAGATTAGAACATTCAGATAACCAAGAAACAATTAACTTATAGTCCCTAGAAATACCATAAGTTAATCAAGGCATAAGTTAATAATTTGATTCCTAAATTTACCAGAAATTTGAT